AAGGTCAGCTGCCGCTAAAAATGAAATATTCATTGAAAGCGCCAGGTACACATATGAAAAGTGCAATGAAATCTCCTAGGAATAAGAATGAAATATCCACTAAAAGCGCCAGGCATCCAAATGAGAAGCACAATGAGATATCCTGGGTTTAGCAATGAAATATCCAATGAAAGCACCAGGTATATCTATGAAAAGTGCAATGAAATATCCTAGGAACAAGAATGAAATATCCATTGAAAGCGCCAGGCATTCAGATGAAAAGCACAATGAAATATCCTGGGGCTAAGAATGAAATATCCAATGAAAGTGCCAGATATATATATGAAAACTCCAATGAAATGTCCTGGAGCTAAGAATGAAATATTCATTGAAAGCGCCAGGCTTTGATATGAAAAGCAAAATGAGATATCCAGAGATAATGAATGAAATATTGCAGGAAATCGCAATACAATATTAATGAGATCACTTAGGCCATTTAATGAAAAAACCAAATGAAATACACAGGGAACTTAATGAATGAAAATACTAGACAAAATAATGAGTTGTCTCATTGAACCTCTAGGCATTATACACATCGCCTTCCAGGCATGTGTCTGGTTTTTATCATAAGAGTGTATACCACTAGTGTGTGTACGCCCACATCCTCGTCGTCGTCGTCTGTTCGCCGTCGTCCGTCTTTCGCCCTTTGGTGTCCTCGTCACACCGTTGATTGGCGTCTGCCTACTCGGCGTCGTTTCGCGTTGTGACGTGGCCGCTGACGTGTGGCATGAGGGAGGGGTGGGTTGTCGACGTAGGGTGTGCTACCCGTCAAGGGCTGGACGGTGGGGTGTTTTGTTAGTTATGTCAGAAAGGGGGCGGGGAGGGACTTACCGGGTTGCGTGACGTGGCAGGGTGCCAAAGGGTGTCGTGGTGACGTTGTGGAAGACGTGTCATAGCAGGGTTCTTGTTAGTCAGTGGGTTGGGGACGGAGGGTGGAGGTGCTCGCAGTGATAATATGAACAGAATCGACGGACGACGAAATGTCGTCGTCCGTCGTTTGGTTGCCACGTCGCCGTTGGCGACGTGGCACCTGGTATTCTTGTCAGAAAACGAAGGGGGGGAGATGGGTACGCTCACCAAGTAGATGACGATGACGAACGGCGACATCTCGCCGTTCGTCATCTGGTTACATCTCCATCACCGTCGTTGTCGTCCATCGTCGTCATGTGGCGTCGTGGTGGTGTTGTGTCATGCTCGTGTTGCGTCATGTCGTTTCATGGTAGCGGCGTGTTCTTGCAACGCCCTTATTGCGGTGGTCATGGTTGTGAGCGACGAAGAGGCGGTGTGGCAATGGTGGCAATGTCGGCGTTGTCGATGGTGGTGATGGTAGTGAGTGTTGTTGATGGTGGGGCGGCGTGTTGGAGAAGTTATGTCACACTGTGACATTAGTGTCAACGTTCAACTGACGTCCAAATTTGTAGTGTCTCCCTTGTCTAATTAGAATTTTGTAGGTTGTAAACCTTGGTAGTGTCCCCTTTTCATTGCAAAACTTGTACTGTCCGCATTTTGGCCCTACAAAAATCTGCAGTGTCTGCTTTTTTCATTACAAAACCTTGTAGTGCGCTTTTTGGACCTATAAACATTTGTAGTCTCCTTTTAATTCATTAGAAAAGTTTGGACTGTCCGCTTTTTCATTACAAAACTTGGTAATGTCCGGATCCATATTTATCATTTACAAAGAAATCAATTTTGCATGACCATTGCCTTGCTTGGGAGATTGTCACAGTGACCAAAATCCCTCAGCAGCATGATTGGTACTGTCTGCTTTTTGGGACTACAAAACCACAAAACTGTATACCTGGATCTTGTAGCTCTT